CAACTAGACAGGAGCGAAGCCATGTCAAGGACTTGGTGGATGCGTATGTGGGTATAACAACAACGGTAAAGGAGCTGAAAGCGGAAGTCACAGACAGGTTAAAGAATGAAGTAGTGGGCATAAACGAGAAGCTAGATACGATTGCGCACAAGTACGAAATCACGAAACGCACGAAGACAACCGTCGACCAACGTTCGAACTCAACTACAAAGGTGAGAAGTAAGGGTGCGGTGCAGAGAACAGGCAGACCCACTAGTGAACAAGAAAGGAAGCCTTTAAACTTGGCAACCCCGCTACCATGGAATCGGGTAGCGGGAGCGAGGACTGCTACGGCGAGGGTAGGACGCAAGAACGACCCGATAGTCATAAACGAAGAGCCGATCAGGCCGGAGGATGCAATAACGCCGATGGTGGAAGTCGAGATCGACCAGCAAGACAAGAAGGCGCTCTGGGAGCCAAGACCCCCGCAGACTGTGGAAGTTACTGCGGTCACTCTGGACAGGGTGAGGCCACGCAACCTCTTCCCGGCAAAGGAGTGGAGAAAGCTGCTCAAGAAACATGGGATCCATCCCATTGCGATCTGGTTCCCGTGGAGAACATCAGTAGAGATACTGATAAGAACAGGAGAGCTCGCGACTATGCACAGCCTAGCGAAGGCAATGGGCCGGGAGGCCCAGGTACTGGACCCAGCGAAGAGGAAGGACGGGCAGGCACTGCCCCTTACACAGGCGGCACTGATGACGTCCATAAACATACGCCTGCGAGACCTAGAGTACGAACGCCACTGGACGGGAAGAAAATACCTCGAGCAGATCACAAGGAGACTAATCGATCTCCTGAACGAGGATATGACCAAGACGGTGCTATACCACAAGCTCGCCACGACGGCAGCACCAGCAACCACAGAAGCCGACAACCCCTTTCTACCCTGACCACAAGCCAGTCTATGTCCGATCCTTACAACGGACCCTATCCGACTCTTAGAGACAGGAACAGACCGAAAACCTACCAAGTGATGGCGATCAACGTGGATGGATATAACAATAAGAAAGAGCTGCAACTTAGAAGTACGATATTACGAGTCAGGCCGCACGTTGCTATACTATCGGAAACTTGTATGCCCCTACACAGAACGATCTACAACGACCAATACACTGTCATCGGAACTTCGGGACCGGCTGACGGGGTGGCTATGATGATACGACAGGATGTCCAATACAGTATTAGAGCTAAGGCCACGAGGGCCATCAAGATCGAGATCGACGGCCTCGTTACCATCATAGGGACCTATGGACCTACGGAACAGACAGCAGACAGGATCAAAGCGCAGTACTGGGATCACTTGGCTGGACTAATAACGGAAGGGAAGCCACTCTTGATTGCTGGCGACCTGAACGCGGGGCACGAGCACACCGAGGCGAGAACCGTCAAGGGCATAACAAACTACACCAGACTTCAACGACTAGTGCACCATCACAACCTCACCATAATCAAGACACCACCCACCTGGCTATCAAAGCGCTCCAAGGACCACAAACCCAGTCGAACGCTGGATCGTATAATTACCAGCACTATCCCGGATAACGACCAAGCCAGCATCGCGCAGCTCGACTGGGAGAACGCCCCTGCTGATCACGCGATACTTACTTACAAGTGGGCTATAGGCTCCCTAAGGCATGACCAAGGAAGACCAAGGAACGTAACATATACTAGAGACCCCGGCGAGCCCACGACTAAGGCCTGGGGAGAGCTGAGAATGAGACTTAAACAGCTTTTCAAACAACTGCAGAAGCCGGCTCCCAAACAAAATGCTTACACCAGGCTATGGGAGCAATACAGAAAACAGATGGGTGAAGAAGGGTTAACCCTTATTGACCAAGAGGAAAACGACCTAGAACCTGGCAAAGCCAGAAATCAGCTAAAACAAATGCTGTATGAGAGGTGGGGCAAGACGGACACTAACCACATACCAATGAAGCGGGAATCCAAGGTCTATCTCGACCAACCACCCTGCATAGAGGAGATCATAAAAGCCGTCAAGGCCATTAACAGGAAAGCTGCCACTGGACTGGACGGGATACCGGCGCGGCACATTGGCGATATACCGATTGAGGACCTGCAGCAGTTCTTCGAACAGATATGGACGCATACTAAGATACCGAGACAACTGGTGGACATGAAAGTCAAGATGATACCAAAGGCGAAACCCAGAACCACTATCGAGAACACCAGGCCAATCACCATACCGTCGACTATCTCGAAGGTACTAAACCAAGTCATACTAACGCATATATCACCATATATTGAGCCGCACTTGCTGCCGCAACAGCATGCATATCGCAAAGGGAGAGGAACGGCTACGGCCGTGGCTGAGCTTTTCACCAAATTCAACAAGCCTGGACAAACGCTACTGCTGCTAGATTTATCGAAAGCCTTTGACACTGTCAACCACACCGCGCTCTTCGCAACACTACGAGCAACTGACATCCCCAGCAAGGAATACAACCTTATCAGAGACCAATATATCGACGCGGAAGTGCGAATACAGTGGGCTAAGAGGTACGCACCTGCCTTCCCGTTGACTAATGGCATAAGGCAAGGCTGTCTGCTAAGTACCACCCTCTTCAACCTGGTTGAAGCGGAGAGGGAGAAGAAATGCCGCGCCAAGATGAAATCTGTACCCTACGACGTCATAATGTACGCCGACGACAAAGCAGTCATCTTAAATGAGCCTGAACACGCGCAGCGCATAATAGAAGTCAATAAGGAAACAGCGGCAGAATATGGCATGCTGCAGAACAACGCCAAAACTGCCCGACTGCGTCTGGACAGAGACACGAAAGAAATACAAACAGTCAAGTGGATGGGGATCCTGCTTGACAACAAGATGAGTATGAACCAAGAGGTGGTGCACAGAATCGGAAAAGCCAAGAAGGCAGCCGCCGATTACGCCGAGACCGTCAAGAACATACCACCTTCGATGATGAGCACCAGAATCAAGGTCAGTACAGCCTGCACGATAATACTGCCGCACCTGGTCTACTTATGGAGGGAAATCCCCTTCACGGTACAGCAGCGTGAAACTTTAACCGACGCGGCCACGCAGCTGCTGGCTAGAGAGTTCAGTAATACGAGTGGGGTAACTGCAAGCTCTATTCTGAGACATGTCCATGAGATTACTAAAGGCTTAACACCCAGAATGAAACAAATAGGCGACCTTGGGGATATCCTGCCCACAGCAGCACCAATTGATGGCGTGTCCGCGGGTACGGCGGAACAGCCAGAACTAACTAACGGAACCGACATTAAGTATGCACGACTCGATCAGCAACTAGAAACACTACCTGATAAGGGTACTACAGCGCTGAGGATGAAAGTGCCCAGGCTACTACTACCGACTACGGAAGCTGAGAACTTCTTCAGCCCAAGAGAGGAACCGCACTATGAAGAGACGAGGGATGTCTTTACCATCACACTGGAGACCTCACCACCCACTCCCGGTTTCGGCAAGGACAAACATCACCCGCAAATAGACAACATGACCTTACGCTTAGATACCATACAGCAGGTAGAACAAGCACAACTCGCTTGCCCTTATGTGGGGCTACTAGAACGACAAAGCAAGCCATGCGCGCACACTATTCTACTGCACACCAAGGACTTTACCGACCACCTGCCGACGACCCATGTTTTTGTGTAGCCTGCAGGAGAGTGATGGCCAAGTCTTACTATCGTGACCACCGATGTAGAAAG